GGGGGGGACTGGGCATGCAGGCAGGGTCTGCAGAGGGAAGCTTACCCTGCATGGGAGGGAACCAGCTCCGGGTGTCCTGCCAGCCGCACAGGGTACACAGGGCTTCCTTTCCCTGCAGAGCTCCACAAGACTCATCCTGTGCCCTGATGCTGCTTCCTTCACCTCCTGGCAGGTTTGAGACCACATGGCTGCCCCACCCAGCACCCCTGAGGCCCTCCTTCCCGGGGAAGAGGGAGTTTATCCGGCCAGAATAAGGGTGCCAGGCAGAGTAGGTCCCAGAGGGTGAGCGAAGCAGCGAGGTGCTGGCCAGTCTGGCTCCTGGGCCAGCTGGAGTGACTCCAGCTCAACTCTTTTAAGAGCGAATGAGGCCTCGTGGGGAATTGGGGAGCAGAGAGAGGCCAAAACAGCCCTGAGCCTGGAGCTGCATCCCTCGTGGCACCTAACTCACCTCTCTAAGTGATCGTGAAGGTTTAAGGACAACCTCCCACAGACAGCGCTTTTTCAGAGGGAAACTTTAGGGCTGGAAATCCCCAGTGATGAAATTTCTGGAAACATGAGCTTAAAAATTCCTTGCTTGTAGCTCTGGGGCCATCCTGGAGGCTCCCTCACCCTAGGCCCTGGCGCTTCCTCCCACACAGAGAGGAGCGGGAGAGGGAGGAAGAGGGGAGGGTGCAGTGGGCCCCCTCCCCCATTGCCGCCCAGCATTTACCTCTTCCAAACAATCGCACTTTTGTTTCTTAGAAATTATTCCGTTCCCCAGGAGCCTTTTTAAATGACGCTTTCAAGGTTGCTTTTTTTTTTTTTTTAATTCTTTCCATTTGAAACACCTTTTTTTTTTTAACCCTGGAGGGGAAAAATACAGAAAAAGCTAATAAAGCAATCACCAAACGCTAAGCGCAGGCTCTAAGCCTGTGGATTCTGATTGTGGCTTTGGCACCAACACGCTGGGGCTTTTCATTAAGGAGAAGTGGAGGGGACCGAGCAGTCAGTGGCTTGCCCAGCGCCCCTCTGCCCTCCGTCCCTAAACCTGGTCTCTGAGTCTCTCTCCCTTTGTTCCCTCCCTCCTCCTCGCTTTCCCTCTCCCTCTCTCCCTCTCTCCCCCTCCTCTCTGATTCTCTTTGGTTCCAATTCAGGCTCCAGCTCACGGTCTGCACTCTCCCAGCCCCAGGCATCCTTCTGCCTCAGGCCCAAGGCCCTCCAGGTCTTCCCTCTCCTCCTCTCTTGGCTCTGCTTTTAAATTCATTATACCGTTTATTGCTTCCTATTATATACACGATTTCTAGTGCCCCGGAGACTGGAATGGTGAGAGCAGGGAAAGGCACACAATGTGGATTTTATTAACTTTACCACCAGGCTCACCTCAGGGTGGGGGTGGGGAGCTGGCTTGGCTTGGGAGCTGGGCACCTGGGCACCTCTTTGCTCAGTGCTTGACTTTCCAGGTGGGTGTCCGCTCCCCGTCTCGTGTTGCCTCCCCTCCTGTAGCTCCCTGGTGGAGGGGAGTGCCCCTGGCCCATTTCACAGGTGGGGAAACAGAGGCTCTGGAGGTGGTGCTTGGACGGCCACCAGCAAAGTGGTGAGAGGTGGGAAAGGTGAGAACAGGTTAGACCAGGACTGCTAGCCCCCTCCCAGGCTGAGGCCCCAGAGCCACCCCTCCTTCCTTTCTGTGCTCCATCAGATACAGAGGATATGAACAGGTCAGCTCCTCCCTTCCAATGAGGCAGTTTTATGGGCTTTAGAAAAACACTCCAATTGTTCCCTCAATTACCCTGAGCGGATTGAATATATTAATTCTCTCTTAACTGAGAGAGAGAGACTAGGCTGCAGGCCCCCCCCCCCCCTTGCTGCCGCCAGCACCCCTCCCCTCCCAGCATCCCCCCACTACCACGTGCCAGAGAGTGACTCCCAGCCCCCTGCCTCCCCCCACTCTCCTGGCCTCAGCTCTGAGCAGGTCAGCCTGGGTCCAGGCAGCATGCTTTTGCTGTGCCTGACAAAATATAACACACACACACACACACACACACACACACACACACAGAGGTCAGGGACAGCTGCTTTACATTTCTCGATCAGTTTTCATTGATTTTCTCCTTTGCCGCTATTTGGAAGAGCCTTTTTCTTGAGTAAACTCAATCAAGCGGGCGAAGGGGAGCAGGAGGGGGATGGCGGGCGGCTCCCCCTTCTGCTGCTTGACAACTGCCTCCAGCTTAAACACACTCTGCCCCAGGCAGCTGAGCCCTGTTAAAAGCTACCTGAGGTTTCCCTTTGTAGCTCGATTTTCTTTTATTTCAGGGAACAAAAGCACTGTCAAGGCAGTCCTTGCAGGGAGGGGTGCAGACCTGTCACAGTGGCAGAGGGCTGAGGCAGGGCTGGCTGGTGCTGGCCCCAGGGAGGGCGGAGTGGGGGACATGGCCTGCCCCCTCAGGAAGATCAAGGCCTGCGCAGAAGGTACCACAACTACTCTGCAGGCCTCCTGCTGTGCCCCCAGCCTCCTCAGTGGCACTGAAAGATTTTCTGCTGACAGGGTCCTCTGCAGGAAACCTCAGAGGTCCCTGGGTGCAGTGGGTAAGACCTGAAAGCACATAAGTTGGGGGATCTCATATTTCTGTCCTTGACTAAGCCTGTCCCTTTACCCCCACCCTGCCTTATTTCCAAGTCATCAACAGATGCCTTGGAGTCCTATCAGGGTCAGTGCCTGGAGCTCAGCCAGTGGGGTATAGGAAAGCTTTGGGGTTCAGCCAGCTTATAGTGAGAGGCAGTTGCCCTGGGGTCAGGTGGACCTGGGTTCAGATCAGCCTGTTGCATTTATTTAGTAGCTGTGTGCCCTTGTGCAGGCTACAGAACTTCCCTCAGCCTCCATTTCCCCATCTGTACAATGGGGGAGAGCAAGTGTTCTGTGTCTTCTATTGCTTGGAAGATTGAATGACCTGGTGGAGGGTTAGCCCTGCCCTCCAGGAAGTGTGTAATAAATGCTTACCATTCTAGTAATGGGTTGGGATGTCCACATTGGGCAAAGCAGATGGGTCTGGGCCTCGGTTTCTGCATCTAGAAAACAATGTTGTTCCTTCTTGCTTAGCCGGCCTTCCATGGGAGAGCTATTGGGACCTCGTGAGCTCCACTGTCTCTGGGGCTCAGGTGCCAGGTTTCTGGTGGAGAAGGCTGGCCCAACCCCGGTGCCACTCTTGGAAGAGGCTCCATTAGCAGATTGTTGTAACAGCACACCAGATGGCCCTGCTGCCCCTCCCCACTCACACCTCCTGGAGGCCCTGATGTGTGATATGTGGTGTGTGTGTGTGTGTGTGTGTGTGTGTGTGTGTGTGTGTGGTGAGGGGAAGGGGGAGGAAAAGGGTGTCCCCATCTGTGGTCTTCCCAGCTAGCCCAAGCCCAGCCCCAGTGAGCAGCTGAAGGGCTTCAGGGGAAAGAACTGTGGTGGCCTTCTCATCTCCAGAAATTACCTTCGTGGCGAAAGGAGGAGGGGCAGAGGTGGGAGGGCCCAATTTTCATGGCCTTTTAGTTAGTCTTCCTGTTTTCTCCCTTACGTACAACCCTGGAAGGTGGGTGTGCCCCAAGGGATACCCCAGAACACAGCCACACTCACAGCTGTGCAGGGACACACGCGCAGGTGTATACCCACCTACCACATCCTGCTCATGTTGTGCAGACATGCAGGAACACACGCATGGGACACACCCACCACATCCTCCTGCTCGTGCAGAGACTCCCCCACCCATCACACCAACTCCCGATGGACACACACGGGGCGCACACCTTTCCTCACGCAGGACCCTTCTGGCTTCATCCCTGTATAAACCCCCCAAGTGCGCCTCTACCAGAAGAAAAAGAGGCTTCGGAGACATGGCATGTGTGATGTATGAGATGAAATTAGAACCCCATGCAAAACCAGTCTTTAATCATTGATCTTTAATAAAACTCTAGGAGCGGGTAGGGGAGGGCCACAGGAAATGAAGGCTGCCAGCACCCAGTGGCCAGCTCTAGCCCTGATGAGGGTTGGCCTGCCAGGAGTCCGACGAGACACCCCAGCCCGGGGCCTGGGCTGGCTCTGCAGCGGCCCTTGGCTCAGAAGCAGCTGAGGCCAGCAGGGATCAGCCCCTTTCTCAGGATAAATGGAGGATGACTGGGGGATATCCTTCCTTGATCTGGATTGGACAGCCTGCCTTGGGGTCCAATTGTCAAACCTCTCTTGACTCAGGGCAATCATCCATCCATCCATCCATCCATCCATCCATCCATCCATCCACTCCCCCAGCACTAAACAAGGCAGCTGTATCTACCGGCCCTTGGGGAGCTGCCAGGCTGGGTGGGGAGAAGAAATAGGAGTTGGAGGACAATGACTTTCCAAGCTGTGAGGTATGATGGGCATGAGCTGGGTCATCAAGGACTCAGTTGGCTGTAGGAAAACTAGTTCAAAAGACCTTGGTTTAGGGCCCCATATACATACATATATATATATATACAGTTATATATAAGCTATATGACTTGGAGCAAATCATTTACCTCCCTGGTCCTCAAGTTCCTCATCTGTACAATGGGCAGAGTAGTGCCTACCAACAGGGAGGTTGTGAGGTTCAGCTGAGCAAGATGCAGGGAAATTGCTTGGTTCATTAAAACCCACCTCACAAATGTCAGGGGGACGTCCGATCCCTGCTTCAAGGAACAGGTGGGGTTCCAGTAGAGATTGAGGAGAGTGGTTTTCAAGTGGAAAGGACAGTGTGACAATGATGAGGAAGCAGGAATGGGGAGGTTTGTGAGGGAACGGCAAGCAAGGAGAAAGGGTGACATGAAGAGAGCATGCCTGTGGGATGGAGAGTTGCAGGAGATGCCAAGGGAATAGAGGGTAGGTACCAGCTCCAGAGCTCTTAGCCCTCTGCCATCTCCTGTTTGACCAGGCTGCTCTGAGCCAGGCTGACAAAAGTAGGAACCTGCAAAGCCCATTAAAGAGAGAGAGCAGAGCCTGTCCCCAACAGCCCCCCACCCCACNCCTACGCCCACCACCCCCGTCCCCCAAGGAAGCCTGGGCCTCGAATCACTGTTGGGAGGCAGTGGGGGCCCAGTGGAGCTAAGCCCCTCTGGTGGGCATGGGGTGGGGGGGGGTGTGGATATTATTT